TTGTTTTAGTACTTAAGGTCTCTTCTGGCTTATGCAGGTACCTATATGCAGACAGAACACCCATAAGGCAAAATAAACAATAGGCGGGACATAGTGGTGCACGTCTTTAATCCCAGCTCTTGGAAGGTAGAAGCAGGATTTCTTTGAGTTCACAGGCCATTCTGGTCTATATAGAGTTCCAGGACAGTCAGGGCTATATACAGATAAGATACTCTGGAAGAATAAACAGACAAACAACAACAACAACAACAACAACAACAACAACAACAACAACAACAACACACGCACACACACACAAATTAGTGATAAACTTCTAAGTGCCTAGATTACATAGCTGAGCCTCCATGGTATTTTTACACTTTAAATGATGGCTTTAAAAAAATGATTTTGCTGTGCATGACAAAATACTGATACTGCCTGGTTTTATACCAAAAGAAAAATGCCTGTCAACTTGGCAGAATCATACACATATGTAATTCTAGCATGCAGAAGATAGAACAGGCAGAAGCTCTTTAGTTCAAGCCCAACCCGGACTACACAGTCAGGACCTATTCTAAAACAAAAACCAAAGCCAAAAAACTCCTTAGTCTCTGCTCTTTCAGCTGATAAGCTAATTAGGCATAGCATTAGGCGTTTGTTATAACAGAGCTAGGACACTCAACTTTGACAGCTTTCTAAAATAAAAAGCCAAGTCTCATGGTCACAATTATTCAATATACATGTAGATGGGAATAGTAGTGCATACTTTTATTTCAGCACCTGAGCAGGAAGATAAGAAGTTCAAAGTCTGCCTTGGATATAGCAAGACCACTACTAGCCTGGGCTACAGGAAACTATCTCAAAGAAATAAGCTCGTCCTAACTGCCCAAATCTGTAGTGGTGAATTTTCTCTGTTCAATCTCAGGCAGAGAAAGATGATTGTTGTTCTTAAATAAACTGGGTCACCTATTCTACAGTCTTGCCTTGTAAACTTGCAAAGTCTCTCTCTCTCTCTCTCTCTCTCTCTCTCTCTCTCTCTCTCTCTC